ATACAACCCTTCCCAGAGAACTATTATTTGGATGAGTTACTGCTTAGTTGCATACTGGTCTATAAGTGAAAGTTCTGGCTCTGTGAGACTAACTTTGACCATAAAAGCCTGATTTGATTCTCATCACGAACAGCATCATGTCAACTCTATCTGCTGACCTTTAACCTAAATAACATAACACAGTTGCTGCTTCTGAAAGTTTAGGCAGCTGACATGCTCTCTCGCTGCCTTGTCAGGCAATTACTTCATTTGCATACGAAAGTACCTCCCGAACATGATTTCGGAGAGAATTCTGAGGCGGCATAACGGCACAACAAAATCGAGAGATTGTTGGTGTTAACTAAGCAAATATTTAGTTACTACAATACTAATTTCATATAAATTAAATAAAATGTGAAAAAAGAAATGTTCAGAAAAAATAAATTTACACACAAACTGACCGCCAACCGCAACTTTCAGATTTAGTTTTTTGTAGCTCAACTATCGAACAGGATAGCGGGATGTCGTAGGCAGAGAAGGACACATATATGCTGCCTTTAAAAATTAATAAGATGAAGGCATCTCAGTGGACATACTGTGACGCGTTCATTGGATTTGGACGTCTTGTTGCCTTCCTACTTTTATATGAAGCATTTTTCAATCATGGGACACATCCAGCATCTCCACATCATCTGTTTCAAAGGGAAACCATTGCCATGGCATGGTAATATGTGGCAATTTCTGCTTATAGTACTACACTTTTTGGTAGCTAAAAGAATAATAAAATCAGTGAAAATATTAAATAAATGAATGTAGAATTTAATGAATGATGGTCTCTGTCTAAAAATGTTTTGATTTATTAATAAACTCCCACTGAATACTATATTTAATAGGCAGAATTACAGAAACCTATGCAGAGTGTTTTGAGGATGATTGAAGGAGAAACTCACTCAGAGATTGTGCAGCAGTGTTTTCTCTTTCCGGTAATTACAGAGCGGGGTTTTTTTAAATAGGCCTCCCATGGTCTTTGCCACTTCTTACCTTCTCACAGAATAATACAGAAAGGGCTGAAGTGAGTGTGTGTAGGTGTGAAAGGCCGGCGACCCCCTGTGTCGAGGTAATTATTGCCCCTCTCTCTGTGTATGCTCAGGTGGAACACTCATTACTCCCATGCTCTCATGCAGACACACAAACACATGCAAACCTCATCTGTGTCATACACATACATACACAGAGCTGTACAGTCGCTCTGTTCTCAAACCAAACACAGAAAGCATACTTAGTTTTCTACCTTCACATTTTTTGTTTACATAGGCCTACTTATGACATGCATCTATGATTGGGATTAACTCTTTATGTACCATATTAAAACACTGAATACACACCAGCGTTTGGAGGAGGAGAGTGTGGCATTGAAGGATGAAATTTGAAACGGTCTGTTCCTGTATTCCCTCAGAAGGCCCCTCACTCTCATAAACCACACTGGGCTTTTTCAGCTCCGCTGCACACTTCAATCTCTCACATACACACAAAGCTCACAAGAGCTGACTGCAAAATCCCTGAGGATATCCTGCTATATAGCATCTTTAATAAACAAAGTACATGCTTATAAATCAGATCACTGTGAATTAGATGCGTTTTTAGCGATTTGACTAAGGTGTCCTAGGAATTGAGGTTCTAGCGATTGACTTTGTATTCTTTTTACAGTAAGTATAACGTAACATGATAACAGTGTAATATGCACAGTTCTCTATTATGAATAATAAAAGATCAAATAAAAACAAGATTAAGCTGATAAAACTTTACATGCAATGACGGAAGGTGGAGATGTAAGGACAGAGAAATGTGATGCAGGGTTTGGGGGAGTTCTTTCAATAGTGAGTCTATAGTGCCATCTGCTGGTCTCACATAAGTTTTTTTTTGTTTTTTTCCCACTTGGCTGCTAGTGATCATCACCACTGAGTGTCACACAAAGGTCACATTCTCCATGAATACAATTATTACAAACCCACAGGCTTGTGGGACGTTAAGCAAACAACCCTTGTTGCTATTTGATTCACCACTATTCTACAAAAGAAATTCAGGATATATATTACCACAACTTAAATAAATGCATGGTTGCTAATAAATAATAAATAAAAATCAAATCTAAGATTTTCACAGAGTAAAAAAAAAGTTTCCTTTTTGAATATATTTTACATTTTAATTTATTTCTGTGGTAGCACAGATTAATTTTCAGCATCATTACCCAAGTTTTCAGTGTCACGTGAACCTTTAGAAATCATTCTAATATGCTGATTTGCTGCTCAAGAAACATTTCAAATTATTTCATATTTCCAAACAGTTGATACCATTCAAAAGGGCATAGTAAGATGTTTTCAAAAGAAATTAATACTTTTATTAGGCAAAAGAAAATATCAAAAGTGACTATTTATTTTATTTCATATAAACTTTCCATTCATCCAAGAATCATGAAAAAAAATGATGATGATGATGATGTAAAAAAAAACCAAGCCATTTTCAACTGGATGCTTCAACAGTTCAGGATCTTGTGACACTGAAGACTGGATGGCTACAGATGGCTATGAATGGCTACTGAAAATTCAGCTTTGCTGTCATTGGAATAAATTACATTTTAAAATATATTCAGTTGGAAAACAGGTGTTTTAAATTGTTTCACAATATTACTATATTTACTGTATTTCATTTAATTACTGTATTTTTATCAAATAAATGCAGCCTTGGTAAGAACTTGGTAAGACATTCTTCAACAATCTTAATTATTCCAAACTTTTGACTCTTTTGAGATCATTGAGAGCAATTATTGTAAAACTGAAAACATTTTCAGTGAAGCGAACTTAAGGAACTTAATTATATCTCCTTTTATGAAAAACAACAATTAATGTAATTTAACGTGCATCAGTT